TGTTCATGCAACCTAATTGCCTTCCAATTAACAGAAAATAGTAGTGATTAATACATAAGGTTCTTTAACAAACTTAATTTAATAAATCACCAATAGACAATTAAACAAGAATTAATAATTAAACCATAGGAGTTCTTTGGTATTCCCCAAACAGAAACAAAAACGAGTTTAGCTCATAGTTGCAGTAGAAACAAACACAAAAACAAAGTTTATGAAAGCAAACATGTTTAATTCCTAAGTCTAAGTGGTAGAATTAACCTAATTGCTTGAATTCTTCCAACTCTTGAAGCTTAGGGTTCCTTAGCGCCTTCTGAACCTTTTAGTCGCAGCTAATCCTTCAAAAATCGCCAGGAATAATGTCCCATGGGATAAGGATTCGTCTTTTAAAGATATCCCAAAACAGAGGGTACTCGGCGAGTAGCAGAATCAACTCGCCGAGTAGGTCCATACTTACCCGTCTTGAATTAGCAGTCGTATTTATCTTCTGGCATATCGTCGTGTACTCGCCGAGTAGGGTCGATCTACTCGCCGAGTAGGTCCTTCTTTCACTCTTTAATCTTCACTTGCTTTCCCTTTTCTCCTTTTTTCCTCCAAGCATATCTTTTGGACTGAAAACACAATTCAAAGCATTTTAAGTACCTTTTGTCCACATTATTCTCATAATTAACCAAAAATAACTAAGAATATACGTTAAATAATTAACTAATTATGCACATATCAGTGGTCCACATACCTCTGCATTCTCTGCAGGTGGGCTGTGATGGACTCTCCATCCTTCATTTTAGTAGTGATCATCAAAGCGATGATCGCGTACCTTTCCTACCTTGCTCTTTGATGGTACATATCAAGAAAATCTTGATGTATCTTGTAGGGGTACTAGTCCTCATAGGGCTTTTGGAGTTCGACAATCATTATCGCGAGCATGATGCAATGAAATTTCATAGCATCCCGCTCGTGAGCTTTGAACGCATCAATCTCTTTGGGAGTAGCAGTGTTGGTGTCAACCTCCTTTAGCTCCTTGTCGAGAACATACTCCTTGTCCTCATAGCGGGTGACCATGTAGATATTACAGATCTAATAATTAAAATTGGTTTCGTCAAAAATCACCCTCCCACACAAATTCATGAGTGAGAATGAGCCAGCATGGGTTGAGCTGGAAGCATTGTTCTTTGAATTATACATTGAAAAGAAAAAGAGACAAAGTTTGATTAGTTAAGAATCCTCAATTAAACACCCAAATGAGAAATTAGGGCTAGGACCCAACACAATTATTCACTATTTAGAAAATAGAAGCCGTAATCTAGAATGCAAATAATTTGAAGGTAAGTGAATGACGATTCACTAATTTCCACCATGAAAAACAAAAAAAGGAATTATGTTTTAGGTCTATTGAAACTCCTAGATATTTTTGAGATTTATTGAACTTTTCAATGGGATGTTTAAATCAAGATACGCCCTTCAAGTTTGTGGCTGGGATACCGAGGATCACAAACAAGGTGTGAATAACTATGCAAATGTACTCAATACTCTTGATGTTACAAATCACGCAATTAATGTGTCGGTTAACTACACACGCTACATTGATCTATGATAAACGTCAAGCTACCCTTTGCCACCTTTGCTAGTCCAAGTTAGTGTGTCGGTTAACCACACATGCTCCACTAATGACTTGACATGGGTGAAAAGTGTAATTGTAGAGTCCCATTCTAATGATCTAAACCAATAATCAAAACAAACTAAGAACAGGAATGAAGAAGAAGAAGAAGAAAATTATCAAGCAATGCATACGCCTATTAGAAGAAATGTTTGGTACACCTTGAGAATACACACGATGACTGTAAAACCTTCTGATACGTCACCCTACTCTGACAGACTCTAACACTATTTATAGGGGTAGGCTGGTTGTGAACAGGGTTCACGACCGAACACACGTTCAAAACGTATACCTATTCACGACCAAGAACACCAACACAACCGCAAACTATACGAAAATCAACAATACATGATCAAGATCCTATTAAGACCTATACGTATGTTTTCCTAGCCCAAAACACTAAGTTATGACCTATAAATATCCCCCCTGGGTTTGTGGCTAGCATGAGCTCAGGCCTTTTCAACCACCAGCACATCCGATCTGCCTATAGCACCCAGCCACATGCCTTAGTCAATGATCTCAACAATCATGTTTGTGAAATCCTTGACAGTTGGTTCCAAAACATCCTGATCACATATAATTTGATGAGTGGCTAAGGTATGAATGTACTTCTGACCAAATTGGAGCAGGTCCTTCTTATCAACTCGACGAAAGACACCATCTTTGAACTTAATAACTGCAGAGACCGTAGCTTCACTGTATACCCCATATAGCATGTCACGCAAAGAACCATCACAGAAGTTCTTGATGATAGGAATATTTGTCACTTGCTTTGTTGGAGGACACATAACGTTTCTAATAGTCTTGTTGGTGATCGGATCATACACTCCTTTAGCTGCTTTTAAGAATGACACAACAGTATTCATCCTTTGAAATCCTCTCCTCACTTGGTTTTCCAAGAAGTTTTTGGAATCAGTCATACGAGGATCATTGGAGGGATTGTAGAAAGGAGCTGCAGATGGTTTAGAAAGATCCACCTTGGTGAGAGAAAAAAAAATCATTCTGATTTTTTGTAGTATTCCATAGTGCTTCTTTTTCATTTCACCAACCAAAAATTAATTTTTTCATGCAATCCCCACATTCGAATTCCTGACTGGTCGCCATATTTGTGCTGGAACCTTTTCTTATTGAGCTCGGTCACGGTCAGTTGAGGCTAATCACCACGAAGATTTTGATCATAATTTTTCATGAAAGCAAACCTCCTCTTTTCTGTGATGTGACCATCCTCCCACCTTTCTTGATTGTAATTCTAGGTGGAACTTGCTCAAGTTCTCTTTCAAAACGGTCAACAACCGTAGTGGTTCTGACTGGTGCGTTGTCATTATGCCGATCAAGAGGTTATGTATTGATTGGGGCAGGTTCTAAAGTCTGGGAAACGCTTGGGCATTCAAATGTGGTCTGAATTTTATCACCAAATTCAGCAATAAGCTTATTCTTCAAATAAAAATATCCAGTTGACAGAGCACCAAGATTAAGCTGAAGGTCAGATATTTGTTTAGCTTTCTGAACATTTCTAGCTGAAGGTCGTAGATATGATCATTCTTCTGAGAGTTTTTAGCTTAAGCTTGGAGACTCGAGCATCGAGATTCTCAATCTGATGATCCTTTTTAATGATTCTCTGCTTAGGGATAGTTACCTCCTCCCTTAGCTCTGGAGCTGATGGGTCCGCTCCACTTGAGCTGCCTTCCCCACTAGATATACCCTTTTCGTGAGAAGGAAGGTCTGATTCATGTTCTGCCAAGAACCTAGCGAGCCTCACAGAGGCAACACCATGCACATGCCTTGTAAGGGAGGAACCCCCAAGAGCTGAAGAGCTCCCGACTTCAAATGAAAACCGAACACCACTTGGTTCTTCTCGGGTTGGTGGTATTAAAGATGTAGCTACTATTGTTGTAGGCTGTGTTGGCGGAGCCTATTCCCGTATAAGCACTCCCCGCTTGGGATCAGCTCTTCTTCTTTTCAAAGGAGGCTAGGAGGCTTGTATCATTATCGGATCACTCTCAGACGCCAATGATGTTGAAATTTCAACATTCAGGGGAGGAAGCCTTGAAGTCGAATCCATAAGATTTGAAGCGTCAGCAGTTTAATCATCTAAAGGAGGCGTTGCTTTTTGAACATTAACTCTCCCTGTCTGCGTTGTGCGTTGCACAACATCATCGAAATCGTTAAAGAAAGATCTGAGGTCCTCACTTGTAGGATAATACTCATTTTCAAACGCAAAACTGATATCTTCATTTAAACCTGACATATCTCCAACAAAAGAATCATTATCAATCCCAAAAAGCTCATCATCATCATCATCATCATCATCATCCTTACTGTAATCACTTCGAACTTTCACATACTTTAAATGATCATGTTCCTCAGCCATAATTGTGATCGGAGGAACTCTGTCTTCTTCATGATCAGAAACAGTTATTACATTATCTTCTGTTTCCATAGGGTCAGAAGACTTGTGAGACTCAGATGCATCACTTGATGCAGCAAACACCCCAAACTTTACCAAAGGGTATTTGCCTTCGAACTTGAACTTACCCTGACGGTTCTGCTTTATTTAACCAAAGGTGTTTGACCCAAGAGACTTCATGTCTAGCGTTTCTCCCCTTTGTTCAATCTCCGGGCAGCTGTTGTTGATGACTGACTGAAGGAATCTTGGGTACATAAGGAATCTATCTCTTTTCTTTCCTTCAACATTCCCAATCAATTCATCCATGATGTATTTGGAGAAGTTGAATTCAAGACCTGCGGCAAGAGCAATGGTAGAAGCTGTGTTCAGCAGAGAAATTTCATTCGCCCAGATCTCCTTCCCGAGATACAACTCACAAAGACATGAGCTAGAAACCTCCAGTATGGTGGTAATAGCTTTTTGATGGTTGGAGGAAATTCTCCTTCATATCCCATTTGTTCAATGATTTCTTGAGTTTGATCCAATACAATCTCGGTCAGAAAACTTGGTTGGTCATCAATTTTCAGAACATCTCGGATGATTTGCTCTTTAACAAAAAAAAAAAAAGATTCTTCCTTTCACAGTTGCTTCAACAAAATTTGAGCCACCATCTCCCCTTTTTACCACTGCAGAGCTCCAAAATTCCTTAATCTAGCTTTGGTAGATCATTGGATTCAAAGCTAGAATAGAAGCAAGACAACACTTCTTCAAGCCATACATAATTGACCTGAATTCACCATGGGCTGCTGGTGGGTCCACCAAAAAGATCGTCAAGTTGTGACTATCAGCAAATTTAAGTTCAGCCATTTGATCTGCACTTAACCAAGCCAAGTGACAAAACACTTTATTTAAACATTTAAGATTAGGGTTTTACTCATCAAACAGTTTAATTAGGCTTGAATGATGGTTAAGTGTTAAAAACAATGATTTGAGTTAAAAAAAAAAAAAAAAAAAAAGGATTCACGGTCAGAGAGGGAGTGCTGCGAGGGTATATCGGGACTGTGTCCTAAATGTGCATGGTGAGAGACTTCACATTGATTTAGTTCTGATATCGTTGCGAAGAGTGAAGGTGATTGTTGGGATTGACTGGTTAAGGGCCAACATGGATATGATTGATTACGAGCATCAGTTGGTCAGGGTTCGAACCCCAAGTGGGGGAGAACTGATTATTCATGATGAGAGGGTCTCGCGGGGCCCGACCCTCTATTCAGTTGTGAGGGTTAGGAGGTTTTTGCAGCAGGGTTGTACGAGATTTCTGGCTTATGTTTTGGATACGAGAGTAGAGACCATGTTAGATATGAGCAGTGTGTTAGTAGTACAGGAAATTAGAATAACTTTTACCAAGATAAGTACAAAAAAAAAATAGTTATTCAGATATGAATAAACTGAAAATTAATTACCTTAATAAGTGATATTCTATGATTAGTTTTGTGCTTTTAACTTTTTCTTTATTGATATATTGCGTTTTAAAAAACAATATATTGAAAAAAGGGTTTAGGAAATCAGAATAGCTTCCGAAAGAAATAACAATAATACCCTTCTCCATCTCTACGCCTCTCACTGCTTCATCCATTCCAGTCCACCCTCTCTCTTTCGTCTCGTCTTTGTCGCTGCCATCGATCCAGGCAATCGTCAATCGTCTGGTTCTTCCATTTGCCTCCAAAGCATTTACGGTCCCAAGCTCAATACAAAGTTTACAGGTACGGTTACCTCCTCAGTTTCACATCTTTTAGTTTTCTCCGTTCTGAAAAAATCGACTGTCAATCTATCAAATGTAATCGCACTTTCTGATTGCTCGGATTATTTCGGAATAATGTTTTTGATTGTGGATCATACGTTCTGATTGCTGGGTCTTTTTGGAATCTGTTAGATTAAAAAAGTTTACTTGAATCTGTTAGATTGAAAATTTTGTTATGTGCTTTGATTGTAAATATGTTAGATGCAATAGTATCTTAGTTTTTTCTGTTCTGATCGCCGGTAATTTTTTGAGGGCTTGTTGCTGCGATGGTTCACAAATGACAACAGATTGTGTGGTGATGATGCCTAATAAGTGTTTGTTGAAATGCTTAAGCCTTATTTAATTACCCATTCTATGATTCTGATTTTGATTACAATTGATCATGTGAAGTTTGAATGTTTGATACTCTTCTATCGGTGAAAAACTTGATTTGTATTTTAAGGTAGCTAGGTAAAGTATGCTACTATTTTCAGCAATTCACCCCCATTAACGTATAAAAAATGAAGTCAGGGCTTGTTTCTTTTTTTCTCTTTTTCATTAATACTGTCTGTAGAAATAACGTATGTGCTCTGCTGAATATGAACAAACATTGTTTCTTTATTTTGACCAAATAAACCGTTTGAATAACTCAATAACTGTAAATGACCATTTTTTAGCCTTGAGTAAATCACATTTATCTCAACATATTCAACAGATTAGCACTTGCTATATGGATCTTGATGACATATTTGGTCCTTCACTAAATTTAGAAGACACCCACTTAAAGGAAGGCTATCAAGAAGGCTACAACACTGGTTTTGCTTCAGGAAAAGACGATGGACATGAAGTTGGAATAAAAACCGGGTTCATAACTGGTGAAGAATTAGGGTTTTATAGAGGTTGCATTGATGTTTGGACCTCTGTGATTCAAATTGAACCCACATGTTTCTCGACCCGGGTTCAAAAAAAGATTAAAGAAATGGATGAATTGGTGTCAAAATATCCGATTTTGGACCCTGAAAATGAGAATGTAACGGATATTATGGGATTGTTAAGGTTGAAATTTCGGGCTGTTTGTGCAACTTTAAATGTGAAATTGGAGTATAAAGGGTACCCCAAGGCATCCGAACCAAATGAGATTCAGTTTTGAGGAATGTAAAGTGATAATTACATGCAGAATGTTTGTAGAATGAATGAAATCTATTATATTAAAGGAATTTCTATATGAAGGAATTGTAATTTGTTACGTGATTTGGTTGGTAGGAAACGAAATGAAAATTTAATGATAAAACATGTGTAAATTTTAATCTTTTTACTAGAATTTTTTTTTCTGTATCTATAAAAATGGAGGGTATTTTTGTCTTTTAATGATAAAATATGATATTTACAACTGTCTAGTTTTGTGGGACTATTGAACTTTTAAAGTCCATTGATTGACAAAGAGAAGAAATGAAGTGAAAGTATGTTACCATTTATTGCATTTGTCCTTTTTTGGTCTTTGATAGTATCTTTTGTTTATCACCACCTTACAAATTTATCTAAAACTGATTATTTTAAATCTATGAAGTTGAGAAATAAAGATCATAATCTGTTTTGAGAAAACCAGTGTTGTAAAAATCTCGACTAGGTCCCGATTAATCCCTAAACGCTAGTCGACCGATTAGAGGGCGCCTAACGATTAATCTTTGCATACAGAATGAATGAAACAGTAGAACCCGATGAAATTTTAACACTTTCAAAAACTTATATCGCAATAGAAACTACTTGAGGTATGGTTAGTGTTATATTAATTATATTAACCTCTTCTGTAATGATATTAATAGTACTTTCAGACTTTTATATGATATTAGTCATATTCAATTTTTTAAAATATAACAGATTAGTAATTACCGGTCTCCGATTAATCTCCGCCTAGCCGATTAATCCATTGATCCCAGTTCACCGACTGGCTAACGTCAAATGATTTTTACAACCTTGGAGAAAACTAGTTATTAAACACATTCTTATTCAACCGAAAATAATTCGTGTCTATTTTGTAAAGTTTGAAACTATAGTGGCCAAACTTGAAAATGGAGAAAAAGGTGCCACCATAGAAGAACCGCTCAAGTTGAAAAAGTCTACATGTAATGACAGTGAAGCTAAACAACGCGTCGAAGACCCCAAATTTCTTCTTCACATCGATTAAATTTCAACAAATTTTGATTAAATTTCCAATTCAGAAACATCAAATGCTAGCGATGTCGATCCGAATTACATCTCTTCTTCTTATTTCCCTCGCCGTTGTCTCCGCTTTCTCACCCGCTGATCACTACCTCATCGACTGTGGCACCACCGAACCCACGGTGGTTGACCTAGACCACCGGACGTTCACCCAAGACGGATCGTCTGCGGTACTCTCAGCAACGAAATCATTCGGATTAAAGAACTCGAACCCAGATCCCAGTTTGTCCCCAATTTATCACACTGCTAGGGTTTTCACGAAACCCTCAGATTACAAGTTCAAAATCAAAGAAAAAGGGATGCACCTGGTACGTATTCATTTTCATAGATTCGGTTTCAAGAATATTGGTGGTACTTGTCATGCTCAATTTCATGTTTCTGCTAATGGATACGTGCTATTACACAATTTCGCTGCCCCAAAAGGAAACCCTATAATTAAGGACTTTTTGATTTGGGTTGATGATGATGAGCTCGTGGTTAGGTTTATGCCAGCCGATAGATCTAGTTTTGCATTTGTTAACGCGATTGAGGTGATTTCTGCTCCTAAAGATTTGATTCCCGATGAGTATGTGAGTTCTGATCAAAATGATAGGATCAATATCAGACACGCATATGAGACTATGTATAGGATCAATGTTGGTGGTGTAAAAGTAACTCCTTTTAATGATTCCTTATGGAGAAATTGGATTCCTGATGATAAGTTCTTGAAACTTTCTGATGCTTCTCTAAAAAGTTACAGTAAAATTCACTTTGATGGTCGAATTCAGTACCATTTAGGTGGTGCAAGCCGTGAAGTTGGTCCTGATAACATGTACAACAGTGCAAGAATGGTTTCTAGTTTGAATGATTCAATCCCAAAACTGAATCTGACATGGGTTTTCCCTGTAGAAAAACGTTTTAGCTATCTTGTGAGGTTACATTTCTGTGATATTGCAAGCATTTCCCTTGGAATGATATATTTCAATGTGTATCTAAACGGGAATTTAGCTTATCAGAATGTGGATCTTTCAACCCTCACAGACTATGTGCTAGCTTCACCTTTCTATGCTGACTTTGTGGTTGACCCTGAGAAGTTTTCTGATGCAATAAGAGTTGAAATCGGGCCTTCAAATTTGAGCAGATCACATGCTGTTGATGGTATATTAAACGGGTTAGAGATATTTAAGATGGATAATTCATGGAGGAGTCTTAATGGTGAAGTGTGTGTTGACCAGTTGGAGTCAAAGAACAGGTCAAATGGTCAAATGAGTCGTTTATTATCATTGACAGGTGCAGTATGTTTGTTGGCAGTTGCATTTCTTGTTATGCGAAGAAAAACTGAGGTCAAAGATTCTTTTGGGTGGTCAAGAGTACCTGTTGATGTCTCTGAAATTGATCTTAAATCTAGCTTTCCAAAGTCTAATGGGGTTGAGGTTTAATTTCAAGAATCATACAAAATGAAGATGAAGATTTCAAGAATGGATTTCAAGTATGTATATCTCTATACAATGTAAGTTTATAACTTTTCAAAACAAATTTTAAGCTATAGTTGTTTTTTCATTGCAAATTGACCATTGATCTTATGAAAATGTCAAGAATCAAAGATTTTTAGACGAACTTCCCACTTTTGTTTGTCTAATTATATTTTTGCATTTTCATAATCATAAGAATGATGGTCTCTTTGTGAAGAAAATAAAAGTTGTTAGGGTTTGTTTTTGAAATAGGTATTCCTGCAGAGTTCTTGTTCATGCAGTATATATAAGTTATTGGCTTGTTATGTTCTTGATTAATACGAATGCAACTTTGTTGTAGTAATTATTATTTTTAAAGTATGTACTAATAATTTAATATTATGTCCCATGAAAATTATGTTGTTTCTTTTTCTCTGTCACCCATGAAATATATATAAAATATCCGGAAACATCGATTTCCATCATGGAGCGACACATCATAAATCGCTATATTAAAAGTAAGCTTACTATTGTAATTATAAAGTCTTTGTAATAATATTTAATATACTAATTGTTAATAAAACAAATATAGAAAAGTTCGTTTTGGGTAAACCACCTATTGGTCACCTCATGTATGTAGGATTAATGGTGAGCAAAATTATATTTCTTTTGATTTGTATAAATTAATGATTTATTAAAACAATTAAGTTTCACAATTGTTCAAAAAGTACTATTTAAGTTAAGTAATAGTCGGTATAAAAATTACCGGTAAACTAAGGCCTTTGTATGCAAAAGGTCATCCAATTACACGTTTTGTTCAAATTGATTGGGTTAATATTACTCGATTGGAAAAATATCCTAAGTTGTTCAAAAAACATAATTCAAGTTTTGTCAATAAAAAAAATACTCGGTAAGTAAAGCCTTTATGTGTATAATACCATCAAAGTATATGTTTTGTTCAAATCACATCTTATACTAACTTGGTTGCTTAACCTAATATATTTAATGTTTAGTTGATATATTAATTGACATATTGTAGTTGCCTACCCTTCGCATCTTGTTATATTTTAACTTTTAGACCTCCACTCTCTCTGCCACCAATTAAGTTAAGAGTAAATTACAATTCGTCCCTATGGTTTGAGGTAATTTGCGTATTTTGTCCCTAATTTATTTTTTTAACTTGGAAGATCCCTATTGTTTGTTTTTGTTACGCGCTTTGTCCATACTATTTGTTTTTTTACGCGTTTGGTCCATATCTTACCTAAAAATACTATTATTTAAATAGGAAAAAATTGTGAGTTAGATAAGAAAACCTGAGGGATGCGGGATTGGAGGTGTGTTTATTTAAATAAATTAAAAAAATCAAGGGAAAAATATTTTTTTAGGTAAGACGGGGACCAAATGCGTAACAAACACAAACAATAGGGACCTTCCGAGTTAAAAAAACAAGTTAGGGATCAAACGTACAAATTACCCTAAACCATAGGGACCATTCGTGTAATTTACTCTTAAGTTAATTTACATCATAACATTCATTTCTACACACATTGTTATTCAACTATGAAACAAAAAACATATAGAATTCTTAATGCGAATAATGAGAAAACTATCAATAGTCATTGTATAATATCAAATTCCAATAAAATTCAGATTATGTTGATATATTATCCATGCCTGATAATCATGTCGTGTTCGGGTTGGCGTGTTACGGGTTGACGGGTCACAATATACCGATCCAAACAATACTCATTTAAATATACAGGTCACGGGTTGACGTGTTTGGAACATAAACTCATATATGACCCGCGAACCCATTTATTTATACGGGTTAACAGGTTGGTGGGTTCGTAGGTCAGATTCCATAGATAAAATTAACAATTAAACATAAATAAATTCTTGATGGTTGATACAAACATATCCGAATTTTGGACACTTAACTACTTAAGTCTTAAAATCTTAAACATCCACATGAGAATTAAAAACATTCATAAAAACATGTTCAAACTAAACATTAATACAAATATAGATAATTCAAATGCTAAAGTAATATCCACAATTTTCATTTTTTTTCTTTCAAAAAACAAAGATAATTCTCGAACACTATTTTCTTCTTTTTGATGAACTTCAACCTTCAAGTAGAAACAATAGCCAAAGTTAAAACATATACAAGTAAAATTATAAAAATGTATAGTTGTCATTAAAAATAACTCACCAAACGTCAACTTAAAGTTTATTAGAACTCGTAACCTCTGTTTTGTCTTCAGTAATGTTCATATCCATGACGTTTTTTGAGTTAGCTTATCGATATCAACATGAGTATCAATTGGATAAGAAAGATAAAAAAAAAAAAAAAAATCAATACAAAATAATAGTTAATATAAGTAAACATAAAATTATAAATACTGCCTTTTTCTTCAAACAACCAATCCCTACTACAAATTACAGGTTCAACAATGTCACGCTTCATGGAACTTTGATATTCATTCAAAACTCTTCCACCGAGACTAAAAGTTGATTCAAATGCTACTGTTGAAACGGAAACACAAAGTATATTCATAGCTAATTTAGCTAATTCTGGATACCTATACTGTTGAGATTGCCAAAACTCAAGTATATTAATGGAAGTTCTTTTAGTTCTTGGCTCAAGAAGACATACTTGCAATTGACTTTTTTTGGTCGAATCCATATCATTATTATCGTAATCATCAAACTCCTATTATATTAAATAAAATTTGAAAAAATTATAATATATTTAAAAAAACAAATATAAAGCAAATGTAATGAAAAAAGAACTTTACCTCAAGAATACTATGATTAGAGCCTCCTCCAACATTCCCAACACTAGCTTGTCGAGAATTAAAGTCACCACTACCACTACCACCTCCAACATTTCCCACAGGACTTTCTCGAGAAGCTTGCATGTATTCATCAAAAAGTGCAAAAAGTGCCTCCTCAACCTTCTTTAATTGTGGTGAACCTTCACTATACAACTTTTTATAGCTAAACTCAACAAAAGAGAACTTATATCGCGAATCAAACACCACAAATATAGCTAACAAAAGATTGAAGTCGGTCCAATATTTGCTAAATTTACTCCACATTTGAGTAGCTATTTTTTTCATATATTCATCAGGATTGTCTTACGTTTTAGCCAACTTCAAATGTAATCAAAATATTCGAGGGAAATACAAAATTGAAGTAGGATAAAGAGATCCTGAAAACTAAAGAGTTGCATCATGAAACACTTTAAGAAAACTACACATTTTCTCAACTCTATCACATTCATCAGAGGATGGGTAGCTTTGAAAGTTTGAATCACTCAAGCTCAAATGAGAAAAGACAAGATGATAATACAGTGCACAAGAAAGCATCTTATAAGTGGAATTCCATCTGGTAGGAACATCTTGAACCAAAGCCTTTTTGTAGTCAAGAATATTTTGCAAGCAAATTTGAATAAATCGGTCTTTTCTTAGTGTAGATCCCTTGATATACTTCACACAATCTCTAACTTTCTCCACCGCAACATCAATTTGTTTCAAACCATCTTGTACAATCATATTCAAAATATGAGCACAACATCTAAGATGAAATAACTTGCCATCATATACCAAAGAATTCATCAAACGAAACTGATTCTTAAGCATCTCAACACATATATCATTAGATGCTGCATTATCCAAAGTTATAGAAAACAGTTCCTTTTCAATTCCCCAACTTTTGATCAATTCACCCAACTTTTCGGCTATAGCTACACCCGTATGTGGAGGAGGAAAGTGGGAAAAGTTTCAAATCCTCTTTTATAAGAACCAACTACTATCAACATAGTGGGCAGTCAAACTCAGATAACCATTTGTAATGATTAAGGTCGAAGCATGAGAAGTCAAGCATATTCTACTAGGACATCTAAGCAACTCATCACGAAGTCTTTTTTGTTGAATAGTATATAATTTTTTGATATCAGACTTTGCTGTGTTCCTACAAACAAGACTTGCTTCTGGTTCCAAGTATTTGCAAAAATTTCTAACTTCTTCATACTCAACAAAAGAGAATGGCAAATCATGTCTAACCATAGCATGAGTCACCATTTCCCAGAACGTTTCTTGACTAAACTTTGGATTTCTTATAGCCATAACACCATTGTTGGCAGAAATCATATATTGACCGATATCTCTAGTATTTGAGATATTACATGAATCTCGATGACAGCGTAGACTACCTGTTCCATTTTTGCTTTCTGCCTGATATTTTGTCCCGCATTTTTTGCACTTACAATATAGGGGCTCATTTGGTTTTTGTTTGAGCATTTCAAAACTTCTCCAAACATCTGAAGTTTTTTTTTTCCTTTTTTTTTCCTTTGCTTTGTAAAAGTACTCTCAACACCTTGTGATGCACTTTCCGGCCCAATTTCTTCAACCGAATCATCACTTCCATCATTAACATCCAAAGGATTGGTGTTATTAGTATCTGCCATAACTCTCCTACAATGAAAAACAGGAGGAACATCAAGTATAGAAACAAATACACAGATTACAAATACACTTCACATACACTGATAACACATATAACACTTAACCTGTAGTAGATGCAGGATAGACATGAAGAGAAGATAACAGATTCACTTCACATACACAGATACACTGTTCACTGTTCACATACACATATACACAGATAACACTTAACTTGTAGTAGATATAGAATAGACCTGAAGAGAAGATAACACAGTCACAAACACTCATACACACTGAGGAAATGCATCTTATAATCAGAAAACACTCATAAACACTCGTAAACAAACACAAACACTCATACAGATAACACAATCACAAACACTCCTACACACTTCATCTTTTGATTGATAACCAAATCGAAAAACTGAGGAAATAAATCATGTAATCGGAATTCGGAAAACTCAAAACTGAGATAAAAGAACAATTGAAGAAACATACCAGGCGATCGATCGTGTTTGCACGACTCACGTTCTGCTTCACCACTGTGGGACGTCGTTTGTGATTTCCACACTTGATTTCGAATTTCGATCACAGAGTATGGCCTGTGGGAGACCGGGGGTCGGGGAGACTAGAAGAGGGACTGAGGGAAATCACAAATCTCTCATACAGATACAGTCATAAGGCGATGGTCGATACACGATTTGAGTTAGGGCAAAAATCGGGAAAATAAAATGGTTACATAATACAGACTTACGGGTTAGTGAGTTAAGACTTTAGGAGTTACATTTAAAAATATATATATTTTTAATTAAAAATATAAATGGGTTGGCGGGTCAACCCGTTTATTTTTTGAGAAACCCATATATGACCCATTTAATAAATGGGTTGGCAGGTTGAAAAACTCAACCCAAACTTATTTATTTTGTATTGTATCGCGGGTCATATCGAGAATTATCAGCCCTAATATTATAAAAAAACAATTTGTGCAAAAGAATGAGGGTTCACGCACAATAACACACTAAAGTTCAGCTTCTTACGTGTATCCAACTTGATCTCACACATTCTCCATTAGTCTATTAGTCCGTTACTTTAAGAACAACGTGCTACTCTCAATATAAGGATGCATCAAAGAAAAATAAAATTAAAAGTCAAAATAAGCAAGCCTTAAGACTATTTGTAACTCCCATACTTAGAAAAAGCTCATTATTATACATCGACAAATAATTTGATACTACCAGATTGCTTTTAAATATATATATATATATATATATATATATATATATATATATATATATATATATATATATATATATATATATATATATATATATGTGTGTGTGTGTGTGTGTGTGTGTGTGTGTGTGTGTTTCATTAATTATGGGTTAGGGCTGTAACAAGTTTATCAATGACGTTATTATTATTTATAACATGGATTTGACTTATGATAACAACTTATAGAAGTTGCTATCACAAATCAAATCCAAGTTATGGTTTACAAATTTCATTGTTGATTGTCGTGGAAGGAAACATTTATGAAATGCTGTTATGCCATATAATTGATGTTGTTACTAGTAGTATGCCTCCAAACATTTATGAAATGTTGGTTGTCAAACATATCATTCATTCACAGCTGGTCAAACAAGATGCATTTAAGGTTGTAGTTTATGCAGTCACAATAGTACATTGGGTCAGGAATAGGAGAAAAAAAAATAAGCAACAAGTAACTGGCAGTCATCAAACATTGAGATTTGAGAAGGGGAAGCAATGAGGGAGGGTAAACTCTGGCTTTCATAAGAAGACTGAATATTACAAGAAATGGAATCAGAAAGTTTTTTAAAAAAAAAATGATGTGAAAAGTAAAAAAAAACCAATAAGCCCTTTATGTTTTATTATGGTGTATCGGTTGTCGTAATAAAGAAGATTATGCGAGGAGACAGGAGAGAGGAGGGATAATACAGAGCAATTCTAGCATATAATTTTGTTGGTGTAAGGTGTACAAGAGATGAGATGAGATCTCAGTGATTTGGATGGTCAGGATTGAATTTGACAGACTCCCTCCAAATAAGCTCTTTGATGTGTTCTTCGGTGCATGAAGGCTGCTCAAAGTCGAAGCTAAAAGGATGAGGGCACACCGGCTCATCGTTGATTTCATGAAGAGGTGCCAAATACGGATGACATAACGCCTCATCAACTGCAATATTTATAGATATATGTTGATTTAGTATATTAAAAAAATGAAAAGGGAAAAATGGTAAAAGCACCTGTAATACGCCTGTTTGGGTCAAATACAAGCATCTTTTCAAGCAGATCTAAAGCTCCAGGGGATTTATTTGGGAATCTTGCAGAGAATTGTTGTCTTGGATACTGAGGAAGTTGTCTCACATATCTTCTTGCATTATCGCTTCTTAGAAACCCAAGACTTGCATCATCAGGTGAACCAATCAGCTAATAACCAAAAAAAAAAAGTCAGTGAAACCCCAACATCTAAAAAAATTTACTTTCATATTCTTGATTTGTTTCCTGAATGATAATGGGTAAAATTACCTCTGTGATAAGTCTGAGCTGATGAACATAATCTTTGCCTGGAAACAAGGGCTGTCGCGTGAGGATCTCACCGAGGATGCAGCCAACGGACCAGATGTCAATGGCGGCCGTGTACTCGGAACAATTTAAGAGCAATTCAGGGGCGCGATACCATCGAGTCACAACATATTCGGTCATGAAATCCGTTTCTGAAGTGGTTCTTGCGAGCCCAAAATCCCCAATTTTTAGGTCACAATTTGCATTCAGAAGTAAGTTGCTTGGTTTTAGATCACGATGCAACACGTGTGCTGAATGAACGTACTTCAGTCCTCTTAGAATTTGGTAAAGAAAATACTGCCATCATCAATTTATCAAAACATCAAGTTTCAGTTTTGGACTAAACATGGTCAAAATCAGAAAGCATAGGGACCATTTTTGTAATTTAAAAATGAAGACATAGTTACCCGACAATGATCATCAGCCAGAGGTTGATTGGAGCGTATTATTTGATGAAGATCCGTATCCATCAACTCATAAACAATGTAAACATCATTGAAGTTTTCCTTCTGTGGAGGCCGTATGATGTCTTTGATTGCAATAACCTGTACCCACCTCAAATCACGTAAATACCCTTCAACCCATATCAATACCATCAAAACAAGTAAACTTTTTCAGGGGTCAAAATGGAGTTTTGAAAAGTGAACTCACATTTTCATGTTCCATGTGACGAAGAAGCTTAATTTCTCTTAGAGTCCTTTTGGCATCTATTCTGTTGTCAAAAGCATTCCCAATTTTCTTTATGGCAACTTCTTCACGTGTCTCTGCATTCGTTGCAGCACTGAAAAAAAAAAAAAAAAAAAAAGTCAACTTTATTCAATACAATATCGGTAATCAAAACATAAGACCCTGTTTCTTTTTTTCTTTTTCCATTTTGTGATGTTAAAATGTATTTAGGAAAATGGAAGGAAAAAATGACAGACAAATTTGTAACAACTTAGGACTTAATGTGGGAAAACCTCCTTACTCCAAACTCAGATTAAGTCATATAATGGGTAAAGATGTTTGTCTGCATAAAGTGTTGAATAGATAAGGTACGTTACTTTCCTAGACTAAAAGACCATTTTATCCTTACATTCCAAAAAACTTCACAACATCCATCAATTTCAACATGATAGTAAATAGGTAAACAGTTGCTATCTTAATACATTAAGCCATGGTTTTTGGCTGTGTCCAGAAGTCAAAAAGAGACAACACCTAACTATTTTCCTATTTATAATCAACAGTAAATGATTCTAAATCTGGATCTCGTGCTCAAGATTCTACAAAATTAAGAGGTTAAACCCTAATGATTATAAGCTCAAGTTACCCGTAAATCACCATCAAAATGTAGCTAAATGAATGAATCGAAGCAATCACATAGGATTATAAGATCAAGTTTCCTGCAAATCCATAGCTGATAAACCCTAATATCATCAACCACTACTTCGAAGAGCCTTACGATGATGATCAAATACAAATCGCCATAACTACACCACGCAATTCCACGATTCCCCAAACAAAATCGATCAACATCACCGAATATAATAACTACAAATCATGCTAAACGTTTCAAAAACTACCAACAGAATTCGAGTCTTACCAAACGATTCCATAAGCGCCTCTACCAACAGGTCTGATCGGAGGAACATACTTCCGGGAAACTTCGAAAAGATTACCGTACACATTATACTGAACATAACGACCGCCATGTGTAAGAACCCCTTTAACGTTACTCTGATCCGCTGTAGTAGCAGAGCTTGACTCCACCACAGACATAGCTTCCTTCAGCGACTTTCTCTCTCTAGATCCAACCTAAATTTTGGGATTGAAGAAGAAGATATGGTGTTTGACATTTCTAAATTTAGAGTTGTTATGAGTCATGACAATGAAGACCGAAGAGAGAGAGAGAGAGAGAGAGAGAAACTTTTGAACTGGAGCTGATATGTTGTTACCCGTGAAGACATTTTACCTTTTTGTATAGTGCTTTTTGTGTTCGTCTTTTGTGTGGTTGAATTATAAATGTGTGTATGGTGTAAAACTTTTTTGATGGGTGATTCGATCACCATACACCTGTTACGGTTTTGATCATTTCACAAACTCCATCAAAGTTGAAATCATTTTCATGGTGATCATTTTCTCCAAGAGATTGTATTTTATGGTGGGGGTGGATTGCATTTCACAGAAACAATACCCTTGTACCGGAGTATTTATTAATTTCGGAAAAACTTTTCTTATAAAATTTTGAAGAATTTATATACATATAAATCAACTAGGTGTGAGATCCATGTATTATATGGGTTTAATTAAAAAAATTAATATGAAATTTTAATAATTTGAATAGTTTAAATTTATAAGAAAAATAAGAAAAATTTTGAATTATTAAAATTAATGAGACTTTAATGTATTGAATACATTACATATATAAATCATTTCTAATAAATACTTTATATATATATATTACCTTACATATTAAATATGGAATTTTAATTTAATAAAATGAAAAATACAATAAAATAACAAGTGGGAAATAGAAAATTTAAAAATTCTAGAAAATGCCATGTATCCAAATGAATGAGAAGAGGACATGTGGTAAAAAAACTTTCATTTATTATAGTAGATTTGGATGGTAATTTACTTTGTAAACTATTTTTTCATTCTATGATTCTTCAAAATCATGACGACCCTACGATCCTATTTATGAAAAACGTGTCGTACCATAAACGGATTGTATTTAGGGTAGGATCGCAGGTAGGATCGGGATCCGATCCAATCCAACATTCTCTTGATGTTTTTTTTTACTATTTTATATCTTTTACCATTTATCAATTTATCGTTTATTATTTTGTATTTTGATTTATGATTAATATTTTGAAATTTTTATAACTTTTGAACAAACAATTGAATTTTTGAAATATTTTTTTTATTTTTAAAATTATAAATTAAAATTATGTTTTATTTTGTGGAATCTTAAGATCTCAATCCTGATCTTGCGAACCCAAAAACAATCATACATAGAATCCTGATCTTAACAACCTTATTTGTAATGTATTGTTTTAATTAATATAAAAGTTATTGGTTACTCAACTTGTTCATATCACCTTATATAATTATCTACCATGAAATTTGATTCTTGATATGATTTTTTCTTCTTAAAGAATAACTAAATATTTATTATGTTGTTTGCATATTCAGTTAACAACATTAAGATTGTTCTATGACTGCTCCTTCTAATTTATAATTTAATCATCATTTTAGTACTAATAATCCGATTTTAGTTACCAATTGGTTTTTAATGATGCTGTAAAAGAAGGTTATCTTTGTCTACGAGAGTTGTTAGATTTCTTAACTATTTTAATCAAAAGTTTGTTTTATTATCATATGGTATCTAATTATATGTCGTTTTAATAGCATATAAATTCCTAAGATTGTTTCAAACAAATACTATATGAATAAGAAATTCATTTTATAAGGGCGTGGTAGTTAACCGATCGTTATAGTGTGTAATAAGGAGATGGTTTTGTTTTTGAATAGGCTTGATAATGATTTTTTATTTTTTATTTTTTATTTTTTATTATTTTATTATTTTTTATTTTTTATCTATGATATCATCTATTAACTAGTTAATGGACAAAATACATTGGTTTCTAATATACAACAAACCCAAAATCTCATTGATATATATATATATATATATATATATATATATATATATATATATATATATATATATATATATATATATATATATATATATATATATATATATATATATATATATATATATATATATATATATATATATATATATATACACACAAAAGTTCAATAGAGAACCATAATTATTGGTTCTTCAAGGAACCATTTTTTTTTTCAATTTCTAAAGTTTATTCTTTATCGAAAAAAAAAACTAAAAATATCTAAATTCATATATTAACATTGTGAACGTGAAAAATATTTTTCGGATTCACATTGTGAATTTTCAAAGATTCACATTGTGAATTTGACGTAAAAAAATCGAATTTGATATCATTGGAAAAATGATAAAAAGTTATGAATTTCTGTTTTGTTTTTTTTGGATAAAAAATAAGTTCAAAAAGTTGAAAAAAAAGATTGATTCATTGGTTAATTATGGTTCTCTATTGAATCTCACCTTATATATATATATATATATATATATATATATATATATATATATATATATATATATATATATACACACACACACAGAAGGTTAAAATCCGTGGAACCCACGAGTGTTAATTTTAAATAAAATTTAAAATTTAATTATGTAATAAAATAATATTTCATTAATTTTGAAAACTTATGAATTGTAATATTGTATTTTTTAATAACTTTGTAAAATTGTATTTTTGAATAATCATGGTACATTTGTTAATTGATTTGTTTCATCTCAAAATTTAAATTATTTTGTTAATTAAATTGTTACATCTAAAATGTATAATGATGTTTATCGACATTTTTTTAATTGATTTATTTTATTCAAAATTTGTAACAGTCTCCATTTATAACTAATTATTGTTGCATTAGTTTTGGACGAGCCTAATAAAGCATTATTAAACATTTAAAAGAAATTGATTAATGATGTTGTTTTAACTTTCCTTGACATGTGTTCAAAATTCAATGATACAATTACAATGATTAAGTCGGTTAATAGTTGTTACGTAAACATTTGTTTTAGTTTTTTAATTAAGGTTACATTAATCACTCTTGTTTTTAAGATTGAAAAACTTCTCTTTTTGTATTAAGGGGATTGTTTTTCAAGCGTTTTAACTTGTAGATTTTTCATTTTGCCCTTTAAAGAAAAGTTGAAAGATACATTGATGTTTGGAATTCAATTACGAATACCATGCCAAAGAAAAAACAAAACATGAAGAAACAATTACACGTTAATTGCCAAAAAATTAAACCTAATAATTTTATCTTTTGTTTAAAAAGAAAAAAGAAAAAAAAAATCAACTGACTAACAGTCAACTTCCACTCCATTTGGAAGTGATTCAGGATCAACCACATAATTGTGATTCTGCAACAAATATATCCCCCCCCCCACCTCCCCCCCCCATTAAGTTAATAATATTTATTAATAACAATAATGATACTAATATATATTACCTGGTCATTAATCTCAACACTTCCATTTTTGAGGTTACGAACATGATGATTTCCTCCATGATGACCAAATTTCATTTTATATGTCTTCCCACCCAAGGCCTGGCCAAGCAACTGATGTCCCATGCAAATTCCAAAAATAGGAACATTTCCCATAATAGCCTTCACTGTCTCAACAACATAAGAGCACATAGTGTGGGTCGTGTTGCTTTTTGTTGTGGCTGAGTTGGCAGCCCATAATACCGTTATAACATCAAAAACACCACCCCTCCTTCTTGTTGCATCTTGTTGTGGTGCTTCTTGTTGTCTCCATGACAAGAAGAAACGTGATCACCTATTGGCTGCCAAATTATCTCTCTATCTCTCTCCTCTTAGCACGGTGTTATAACACCATGAACACTACCCCCTCATCTTGTTTCTTCTTTTTATAACACCATTTCAAGTTGCCCATACCATATGCTCTAAGGTATAGCAGAAGGGTCACCTGGTCCATTGCTGAAAAGTATCCCATCTGGTTTTATTTTAAGAGTCTCAGATGCTGGCCATGTTGAAGGAACAACCGTGATTTTACACCCATACATTGCCAATCGCCTCAATATATTGTGCTTGATTCCAAAATCACATGCCACCACCTTCATTTAAACATGAATTTAATAAATAAGTTAAAACTATTAAGAAGAAATGAAAGTAGGATGTTATAATCAACAATTCAGAACATGTACATCAACGCTTGGTTGCGTTTATATAAGAAACTCACATGAAAAGTCTCGCCATGCCTTTTGTTGGAGTTAAAATCCCATTTCATATCGGTCTTACCAACCCATTCATAAGGCTTCTTACAAGAGATGGTATAAATTAAATCCACACCTGCAGAAAATGTCAAAGAAATGGAATGCAATTTAGTGAAAAAACTGAATCGTGTTTAAACATATATAATGAGGACATTTTGGTCTTTTTAAGATTCCCATATCATATAGAGTAGACAAGGCCATTACCAACAATATCCCATGTGCGTGACATCTCTAAATGTTCTTTTTAGCTATGTGGATACACAAAACAATGAAAACAGATAGAAGAAATAAAGCAGAATTATATATGCAGATCAAAGTAATTTTTACCTACATTCAAAGTTATAATCAACAATTCATTTTTATCCCACATAAAAGTAATTTTTATGTTTTTCTTGAATAAGATGGATGAAAACAATGTGATAAAGGATGTTGAAGCACTGATGTGCTAATAACATTTTGTAAATGTTATACATTAGAATGAATTCCCAAATACATAGTAAATGATAAGCTAATTTCTTAAACAAAATTAGAAAACTATTAACACGACTTTCACTTGGGCATTGTATCAAACAGTTGGTGTGTAAAATGGAAGTAGAAAGAAACAGTAAATTACCAGCACTGCATCTCCAAGCACAACACCATTATGCGCACGATTTCGCAATTGAACTGATGAGGAGTCATACAGGTTGTCTAAGCTCATTAAAACCCTACCTGCAACAAAGATGTAAGATGAGAAATGGGTTTGGGAAGAACAATGTGATAAATGTCGCAATTCAACTAAAACCTTAGTATACCTGATTTAGTGGGTAGATGATTCACCATTAAGGTCGTTGGAAGCAGGAGAAAAAGAGAAGAAGAAAATGATTGATATTGAAGATCAGGGGAAAACGTAACTTGCTGAATTCATTTGAGGGAGTTTGAATTTTGATTTAAATCAGTACATTGGCACTCGTTGTACATCTTATCGAACCTAAAAACCTACAAATTAACCTGAAGCCCTTCCAAAAACGGAATGGGACGATTACTGATTTTTGAATGGCTTGGATGGAATCTCTATAGTATAAATATAGAGATTGTTAAGTACATTAGGAAAATGATTAATATTGAAGGTTTCACCATTAAGGTTGTTGGAAGCAAGAGAAAAAAAAAGGAGGAAAAAAATTATTGATATTTAAGATTAGGGGAAAACGTAATATACCTGAATTCATTTGGAAGAGTTAGAATTTAGATTTAGATTTTATGGAGAAGAAGAAATATTGAAGAATGATCAGAGGTAAAATGAAGGGAGAATTAAAAAGAATGTGAAGATGAAGCGAATGATGGAGTTTATCACAATCGTAATCATAACCTAAGGATAAGGGGTAGTGTTGGTATTTCACTTTAAGCATTGGAGTGGGAAAAATAGATTGGAAGGGGCTTAAAGTATGCCACGTGGCAAGAAAGCTCTTATTTATTAGGATATATATATATATATATATATATATATATATATATATATATATATATATATATATAATTTTGTGAGACTGTTATGAGACCACTTTTTTCTAGTGAAATATTCTAATATTTTAGTATTCATAAAAAATTAAATACGTGTAATATTCTAATTATTTAAAACAATAATTTTTACATATTTTACATTGAAATATTCCAAAACATATAATGTTAGAATATATTGCATATTCTCTTTTTACGAATGATAGAATATTAGAATATTTCACTAAAAATATTTGGTCTCACGGTTTTACAAAATTATTTTTTTATCAAATAAACTCTTATATATATATATATATATATATATATATATATATATATATATATATATATATATATATATATATATATATATATATATATATATATATATATATATATATATATATATATATTGTAACATCCCAAAAAAACACGATAAAATTTTTTATTTTTAAAATAAAAGAAACCATTGTTTTCAATCCCAAAACCATATCAAGTCAAGTGTCAAATATAAATATCCCCCAAGATTCGAACATCTTAAAATCTCCCAAACTGTATCTTCGAAGGATATGTACGATCACGTCTTTATCTTGCCACAGTCATCTAAAGTACTTGAAATAATAAACTGAAACTGGAAGCCAAAGCTTAGTGAGTTCCTCCAAAGTACCACCACACAACACAGCATATACAACATTACATGCTATGTTTAATCAGTCATCAGACTATAATACCCCCGACCCAATCAGTCATCGAACTGGAATACCAAATATACAACGGGCCCGCTCAGTCATTGGACAGGAATACCATTGGTTCAACTTAGTCATAGGACTATAATACCCCCAGTCTATTGGCTCACACACATAGCAGTAAAGCCTCAACCCCAAACCATAACATGTCGAGATATACATGACAGATAACATATAACCAGTTAACAGACAAACAAACAGGTCTACAGATTACTACCGCATAACAATATCCTATATACCATGACTCAATACTAACATCTCAATATGTTACAACCCGTAATTTGTATATTGTAAAAGTCAAACTTGGTCAACTAAAGTTAAGCTTATCCAATAAAAGTCAAACTTGGTGAACTAAAGTCAAACTTATCCAATAAAAGTCAAACTTGTGCTTTGATGTAATCTTAAGGTTAGATTAATAACATTTACATGTTAAACACTTAGTTAAAAGGGGTTGTGGAAATTTGAAATTTAAACACTCAAAATCCGAGGAGCCTCGTAGGAACCGAAAACCCCCTTCGCAACCGAGAACCTCGTTCTCGGCTGTGAACTCGCTTCTGATTGTAAACGGTTTTCAGCCGTAAACTACCATATATATATATATATATATATATATATATATATATATATATATATATATATATATATATATATGTTTGACTGAAATAATCCTCGCTTCTACACTTCTAGCCGAAAACTCAAGCTTTTTCTCTCAAGATCTTCAACCGAAAACCCCTAGTTTTCTCTCAACTATCATCTGAGGATCATTTGATTCACCTTCGGATCTTGATAAGAACATCTAATGTTCTTTTTCTCATCGATCAATCACCCTTCATTCCTGGGTTTACAGCCGCAAACCCTTGGATCTCCTTTGTTTCACCAAGAACACCAAGAACACACACTTGAGTTTACAGCCGAAAACACTTGAATCTTCAAGTGGTTGTGAACTGTTTGCGGCTGTAAACACCGAATCCCAAGCAGAGTCTCCTGGAGGGAGAGTGTGAGTTTGTGTATAGATCTATACAACATTGACCATCCCACTCCTTGCTACTAGCTACAGTGGGACCTGTAGGTCGACGGGTGACAAATGTCATACCTTTTTCGACGCCTGAAGAACGTCGTTTTTTATACTAGTCAATCAAGCATGGTTATTACCTAATCACATTTAAACCTTAATTAACCAATTTGGTTACAAGGCAGTTAAGGCATCAGTAGTGTATTTTACACAATTCTACTGTAAACCTTCATTTTCCATTACATTCATATAGTGATATTCTCACATGAGAAATGCATACTATTTTTCTAGTACAGATGGTTTACAAATAAGGAAAACATATATTTTATACTATTTCGACTACAAACATACATTTTATACTATTTCAATTACAAACATACATTTTATACTATTTCAAGTAAAAACATACATTTTACACTATTACTAGAGAACAAGCATACAAAACAGTCGGGTCTTGAGTAAAAGACTACTTTTCATTTTTAGAAGAAAATATAGGATTTTCTGGGAAGTATACAAACATTTTCACTAAATAAATACAAACATTTTCATGATACTGTAACGACGTAAATTTTCAAACAATTTTTCATTTTTCAAACATAGTAAAACTAATATAATATTCTCAAAATATCATGTATCAATATCATCACAATAAAACATATCCCAGAATCTCAAATACATAATTTTCTGTCAGTGTGTACAAATCATGCCGGCGCCTTCCCGCGATCCTTGCTGGTACCTGAAACACATATCACATAACACGGTAAGCATAAATGCTTAGTGAGTTCCCCAAAATACCACATACAACATATACACCAGTCAAGGCTATACTCGATACGACCCTCCGGTCGATGTGTCTCAGCGGGACCCTCCAGTCCTGTAGCTCTTTGGACCCTGCGGTCCAGTCTAGCTCTTTGGACCCTCCGGTCCGGTCTAAATCGTTAGACCCTTCGGTCCGGTCTATATAACACATAGCATACACGTAACATAATGCACATAATCTCAATCATACACGTAATACATAAGACCCTCCGATCTGCACATAAATACCACTCTAGGTAATGTATAGTGAGAAGACTCACCTCGAGTAATCTTGGAAAGTATCGAACTCGAAATACTAATCTAGCCTCCGCTTAATCACATAAAATAATTTACCTCTAATTAACAATGATTCTCAAAGGGTAGACTAATCCCTTCCTGTAATCTCTCAGAAGGGGAAAAGACCATTTTACCCCTCCAATGGTCCAAATGTCCAATTGTTGACCAAACCGTAAAAGTCAACGAAAGTCAAAGGAGGGCAGTACGCGGGGCGTACCTACTGTGTAAGCGGGGCGTACCCTAGCTACCCAGAATTGGGGGTCTCAACCCTTACGCTGCGCGTACTGAGATTTACGCCCAACGTGTGAAATCCCCAAAATCTCGGCCAGAAAAGACCGATTTTCATTTATGCTTTTAAAATAATTTTAGAGTAAATCCTTTTGATTTGAAAGAGTTGCGGAATTTGTTCCCAAAAACAAAACATGATAAAACAATGTTTACCAAAGCATTTCATAAAAGAAATGTATTTTCATTATATAATCAAAACTCGGGGTGTCATGTTCCGATACAGACCAATAAGCATAAACGATAACATTACAAGTCATTCAACAAATATATACATATACAGACTTGTAAACAAAACAACTTGATGGTTCATCCATCTTACGCCCTTGCGCCACTTCCTGTAATATAAATAAAACTGAGTGGGTCAGGCTTGGGAGCCTGGTGAGCATATAGGGTTTTCAACCCACAATAAATAATTAAATTAATTATTATCAACCAACAATAACCCAGTTACCCATTCCCATTATTCTCACTTTATGTCCCTAAAATAACTAACACAAGGGACCTAGTCTAAGAATATTTCATCGGAGTGACAACACATGCCTCGGGGGTTCCTCAACAATATAAGTCAAATAAGGCAACCATGAGGGGGATGGAATACAGTGAATGAACACCCAAGTTCATTAACACCTACAGGTTATGAGCCTGCTAGCGTTCCACTGGACTGTCTAGAAAAGTCCGTGGTCGTCATCTAAATTCCGCTAGATGACTAGATCAAAACAACATCGAGGCCTCTCATCTGTTTATTACACACCAACTATCTACGCATGTTCTACCCAACATATTAGTAGATAAAACATACATTTTTATACATAGTTTCAAAACCTGTATAACATGCTAATTCAATACATTTTCCGTATAACAGATGAGGCACACACACATAACACGTATTTCATATAGAAATAATCAGATCTGTAAGATAGAAGAAAGTGAATATACATTCACACACGTAACAACAAAATATACACATAACACGTTTCTCATATAAAATACTTCATAATTATGCGTTAAAAGAAAGTAACAACACACTCACACATATAAACAACAATATACTTAATACACTCAAACCATACTTGTATTATTATTGTGTTTATGAAAGGTAGTATACACTCACTTGATCAGAAGATGATCGGACAACACTACGACTTGCAAAAGTAGTAATCCTCAGCAGATCTGGAAGATCTCTACAAAAATCGAACTTCTCGCGG